CTATCCGCTAGCGAATCGGCGAGTTCGATACTAGTGAATTGCTGATTCGCAAAGCTTGACGCCGGGCATATAAGACTCTCAACATAGTGACAAAAATAGCGGCACAAAGAATCGTTAGGTACGTGTTAATTTAAAAGAGGATTTCTCAACCATACGAAATCTTCAGCTTAATTCCTTTTTCGCTTTCCTTTGATTTTATGAAGGTGAGATTTAAAAAAGTAGTAGAAGTAATTACGGAATTGAGGAATGGCCAGATAGTGTTTTGGATGAAACAAGTGAGAAAAATTACTTTTGGCATCATTTGTAACTAGCTTCAATTAATTTAGATTTTTCAATAGTATTTCACGTCCTTTCAATCGAAATCCCACAACTATACCCTGGACAGTTTCGACGCACTGAAAGTCACTGATATGATTTCGTACCACCCATGTTCTATGAATCTGCAACTTACGATCGGCGTGATTAAGATGTGAATCGTGCCGTGCTCGCAAAATCGCGTCGGTCCCACGCGGCCAAACGAATCAAAACGCGTGTTCTGACAAGCCGGCTTCGACAGAATCTTTCAAAAAGCTCGGTTGCATGGCCCCAAGTTGTGCAATTGAAAGAGAGTCATCAAAGAGGCGAAAACGCAACGATAATAAGTACCTACCCATCATCATAAAAGTTAGAGTAATCTGTAGGTCTCATCCAGTAAGGGGGCATGTGACATGTAGCGCGACAGTTCATATTGCATGAAGAAATCCACTTTTTTCAGGGGAGGGAAGCTCCGGGGTGGGTGTAAAAGTTAAGCGAAATGGTTCACGCACCCCGGGGATTCCCTCCCCTTGCAAAAATTGGAATTTCTGTAGCCGGCAAGAACTGTCACACCACATGCCCCCCCCCCCTTGCTGGATGAGACCCTAATCTATTTCTTGAGTGAATTCAACAACAAGCAGTTTGTCTTGAAAAGATGATATATTCTCAAAACTATTGGAAAAGCAAGAACCTTGTTGAAGTGACCTAGCTGCTTGCACAGTTCTTCCAAGGACAAGCCACGGTAAGACAGCGGTTTGTCCGACGTTACGTTCTTCACTTGTAACTGAGAGATCAAAACGACCTTTTTCGCTTAAATAAAATTGGACTTAGCTCACTCAGTGATGGCGTGAATATCACAAAACGAACATTTTGAAAAAGAAACTTACTTGTTATAGTGGTATCTGTAGTTGTTGTCTTCTTGAGCTTCTTGCCAACCTTCAGCTTTACTTTCTTGAAGTCCGCATTCTTCTTTGCTTTCTTCTTTGTTACCATCTTGAATTGGGAAACAATACTCAACAGTAATCAAATGAAGAACAGAATTCAAAGATGCAACGGCCAAAATGTGCTTGAAAAAGAATTTAAAGGAGTGTTTGATTGGAGCGCGAAAATGGCTCGAAAGTTTACTACAGTTTTTTGACAAAGGGCCTACTTCGGCCTAACGTGTTGTCAGGCGGGTGTTAGACTGAATTCACAAAGGAAAAAAATAGGAACCACCTCAAGAAAAATTTTCACAATATCTATTTTGGATGAAATCTCGCCATTGGACATGTTCAACTGGACTGCTTCGCACGAGTGTCCTAGATTAGTCTTGTCGACAACGTACGCCTAAACATGGAATTCAGATTTGTCCTAATAGAAAAGATCCAAAAAGTTATGATTACCTTGATGAATGCTTCGATGATCTCCAGGAAGCGTGGGAAATTCCAAGCCGGTCTCCGAGAGCTTCCAAGGAATTTCACGAATGCTGTGAAGAGGTCCGCACTGCTGCTGCACAATTTGGGATATGTGGTCAGAAGTAATCCGATAACCGACAAGGCAAAATTACGTACCCTAAATAACTTATGGAGTAACTTTATGTCCTGATTAAGATATCAAGCCTACAAAATGTGGAAGGATTCAGTGTAAAGCTATGCATTTTTTGAAGCCACATTTAAATGTCCAGGACACGATTTACAGTACACAGCCGTTTAAAAATCAGGCTAAATTGAGCTGAATAGCCCGCTTAAAGGAACGTGAAACTCACCTCGAAATCTTGAAGAAAAGTCAAGCCTTTCAGACTTGAATAGGAAACTATTTGGAATAGTGCTTACCCGAGCTCGTTATGTGTGAGGGCATGAAGCAGATGGGCAACGAAAAGTGCGAAATGAGCGGCCATGGCATGAGAAGGTACGGAACAAATAACACGTAGGAGAGACCGAAGGTGACCGCTCAATGCCGGATCATGCCCCTATAGAAAATAAATAATATTCAAAAGCGCAAATAATACAGAACACTTACAAAGTTCAATGTTCACCTTCGCAACAAATTATTTTAGTAAGTGAGTTCAAATTCGTTTGACTTTCAAAAACCCACGCAATCTGAAATTAGGCGTGCTACGGCAGGAACCAATGTACGAAGATGATTTCCGATGAGGTCAGGTCGTGACATTAATAACTGCTTTGTTCCCATCAGCGCATCTCTTCGGACCGACTTAAAACTCGTGTATAGAAAAAAGTGAGACAAATGTTTTCAGAAAAGACAACAAAGTACAGTCGAATGGGAATGATAAATAATAATAAAGTTTTTCGAAGAACTAATAATACTATATAGAAGTGATTTTCTTTCCTAGGGAGAATGTCATTTTCCTCAATACAGTACCTATGTTCAGATGTGGGGCATAGAAAATGGAATACCGGAGTGGCAAAATTCGCTATCTCTAGTTTTGGAATTAGCAAAAAACACCTCCGGACATTTACACTATATAGGGTGCAAACTG